GGGGGGGGGGGGGGAAATGAGAGGAGGGGAGGTTTTGCTTTGCTTTGGTTTTAGTATAGCAAATAATAACTTCTGTGTGGTGATGAACATCAGCTGTAACCATTACTTAGGGTATTTCTAGCAAAACAAACTCAATTTTCTTAGTCTAAGGTAGTACAGTCCTGTAATTATATAAATTTTCTAAGTTTATTTGGACCAGATACATAAATTGGATGAGTAATAAACATCCAATGGAGCTAGATCCAATGTGAAGAAATAAACTAATTTTATTTTTAAAATGAAAAATGCAACATGCTATGCTTAAGTATCAAAGTGTTCATAAATATTTATAAGGTGGAAAATAACTGTTGAAGCACCTGTATAATAAGGTTATATTTGCTGAAAAGTAAAATAAAGTTACAGACCATTACAAAGATAATGCAATGTTGTTGTAAAAAAAAAAAGCAAATAATTCTGTGTTGTTTTAAGAAAAAAAACAAAACAAAACAAAAAAAACAAAGTATAATTATTCCACTCTATTTGGCACCAGTAATGCCTCATGTAGAGGATTATGTTCAGCTCTGGGCAGCACACTTTAACAGCAATCCAGACCCATAGGAAAAGATCCAAAGGAGAGTTTTAAGGGAGTTAGAAAGCAAGGCCAATAAAAAGATTGGAAGAAACGGGTTTATTTACTTTAGATATAATTAAGAGGAGGCAGAAGTCTTCTGAAAGAAAGAAACTAGATCAGAGGTTGGCTACTGAAATGATGCTGTGAGTCCTGTACCACGGAGGCTTTGAGCAGCCGGGGGAAGGAGCTGAACCTGCAGAGCCCAAAGTAAAAGCTGACAGTGCAGGAGGCCACTTTTTCTTCTGCAGCAGCCTTGAATTGCAAGACACAAATGGTGAATTAGAAAATCAAAACAAATTTACTATATATATGTTTTAAAATTATTCTGTCTATGCAATGAAGGAAGTGCAAGATGATTTAAGTAATGAACAATATTTAGGCTGTATACTGCAAAAAAAGGCCTGTCTTGCAAGAAGGGTAGTAAAATCCTGGAAATGACTGCTTCAGGTTGCTGGGAATTTTACTTCCCTGGATTTTTTTTTTTTTTTTTTTAAGAACAACTTAGACATCTGCTGGAAAAGGTCTCGAGGTATTTATCCCATACAAACATGATGAAATTTGAATGAGAAACTTCATTAAAATTCCTTTCAGTTATAACTTCCCATGTTTCGATTGAAGAATGTTCACTGACATCTTTCCTAAATGTTATGTTCTGTGATCTTCACACAGGACCTAAAATGTAGTAGGAACAATTTGTTCCAGTGTTCAAGATCAGAGAAGGATGCCTTATACTAAGAACTAGTTTCCTCGAGGTATAATCCACACATGAAATGAGTACAAACACTCATGTTTGCCTTCTAATCTGAGAAGGAAAGCTAATTTTACATCAATTTACAAATAACGGGGAAGAATTCTTTCACTATTCCCAGACTCAGGAATGATTCATTTCCCATAAATCCCTTTGAGACTTTGTTCAGAATCACTTGGTTATTGTTCAAAGTTGGAGGGTTTGGCCCCTGGGGGCTTCACAGGGTACAGATTTTAGTCAAAGTATTGTAACTTTCTAGCACTCCTAATAAAGTAAATATCTGATTGCCAAAAAGTGTGACACAGATGGTCATTATGTTTGCAGCAAATTTCAGAACATCTGACAGTGGTAACAGTGTTACTGGCAGCAGAGGAAAGGACTTAGGAGGTAAGCAAAACAATCATTTAGTTCTGTGGGTTTGATGGGAAATAGGGTAGGAGTTGAGACCAAAAAGTTCCCAAGATAAACTCTACTAAGCCATTTCTTCATCATCTTTGTGTAGTTTTGCAACTATGCTTGTACACTATTCCTGTTTTGATAGCCCACAACATTGGTGTGGCATCATGTAGCAAGAAAATGAGCTGACATAACCTTATGTCTGAAATTCTAGTAGTTAGGCAACCTAGTAAATTTTCATAACCTCTTCTAGACTGAACTGGGTCACTGACACAGTAGGAGATCTCATTTCTTGTGTGCCAAGTAAATAACATGCTTATAAACCAGCTGCCAGTCCTCACCCCAACCACATTTGAGTTGGTTTAGTTTCTGTAGAGCTCTGAATGTTTGATTTTAACATTTCAGGAGTTATTCCAAAAGTTACTGAGAACTTTGATGTCTTTAAGGTACTATTGAGTGGGGGAATTCCAAAGTTTCATTTTGCATTGCAGTATCCTCTCAGCTTTTCAACTTGAGCCTTTGTAAGTCCCTTCCAGACGATTCCCAAACCTGTTGGAGAACTTTAGACCTTTGAGGCTCAATTTGGGATCTCTCTTGACTTCTAAATCTTCATTCTTCATGGACTCAGAAAGACCTGGATAAGGAAACTGTCAAGAAACATAATACAAAAATCTGTTTGGCAAGCTGGGTTCTATAGGAAGTTTACTGAATTGAACTTTTCTTTAAAATATTTCTTTTAATTCATCCACATTTCCTATTAGACAGTCTCCAATAATATTTTCAAATCTATTTTTCCCAACTTCAAAATCTGTAAACATAATCTCACTAATGAGGAAAAAGCCACTAATTATTTTAGGGGCTGAATATTTAATAAGAATTTCAAAATTAGTCATCTTCAATCTATATTTTAACACCAAAATTGTCCATTTTTGGAAGATCTAGTTTTGTGTTACGATTTTTGTGTTGATGGTAATTGTGTAATAAATGTTAATTTTTCATGGATTTAAATGCTATGAATTAAAAAATTTTAATGCTGAAAATTGTTTATTTCCTGTGGGTTTAATAGTTATAAGTGGCTCATGTAGTATAAAGTCAGTAAACCTCCACTGACCTCAGTACTTTTGAGGATTTATCTCAGCTGTGAATTTCATTTAAAGATTGCATAATAAGGCCAATTTTATATATTAAAATTTTATACCCACCAAGCAGGTAGGTAGTAGTTATACCAATTTCCTTTTTACCATGACATAAGGCCTGATTTTTGTGTATTCTTTTAATTAATACAGGAAACTTAATCTAGTTAGTAGTAAGAAGCTGTGCAACGATCATGTAAACTCTTGTCCTCATCCATTTTTTTCCTCCCATCTCCTGGGCCACTTCAAAGAGCACTGATAGATACTTTTGCATATACGTGTTAAGAGACATCAATGTCCTGTTTAGCTCTCTGAGAATGAATGGAAAATTTCAGCTCTGTTCTTCTGGCTGCTATTGTAACCACACAAGCTCTGTAGAGCTTTCAAAGTTCTCTAGGGTAAAACAAGAAAAGAAAAACAGGAAAATATATTAAACCATATATTGATAAGGGTACAGTATCACAAACTGGTACATCAGTCAGAATTTCCTTATAGACATTGACAGTGTAAAACTCTGTTAGTGTTCTTTTTCACAATATATATGACAATTCCCAACATTCCCTGACCTAATGTATATTGAAAGACATAGGAATGCCATGATTTGAAAAGAAAAGGGTTTTTTTTCACCTTAACTTTCCAGTTGTGTACTTCTTAGTTCCTGAAAGCTCTGGTGCAAGAACAGTGAGATCAAAGAGGACGGTATGATGACTTTTGTATTGTACGGGATGGATTTAGGTACCAGGAAAGTGTAATCTGACAGGGGAATGGTGCCCTCTGCAGGGATGCCTTGCTTAGTTCATCCCACGCGGTTTGCTGTGAGATGTCTTTATGAGCTACGCTCACGATCAGAAGTGCATAGAAGAGAGTACGAGGAACCCCCTTTCTGCCTTTTTGATGCAGAGGTAGTCATTGTGTCTGTGGGAGCTACTGAGATTTTCTCAATGCATTTGTTGTTGAGAATTGCTCACTAGCTCCTGTTACTAAACCACTATCCATAGCTATTCACACTTATGATGAGGAGTTAAAGTTTATAATAAGAGCTGGTTTTGCTGAAAATCTAAACCACACATTTGGTTTGACTGAATGGAATTTGTGTTCCAATGCAGATGATGATTCTCCTTTTATGTCTTTGTTCAGTGTGTTCAGAACTTAGGAGTCAGATATTAGGCAGTGACTCTCTAGCAGAAGATACAAGCCATCTCATTTTGAGGCTGTGATAGGCAGTGAAGCAGACTAACTTAACAGTTATTCTATTTCTCCTCTGTATTACAGGTGCTGCTTTGCCACCACTGAAACTAGGGCACTCGATCTGTGCCATGAAAGCAGATGAAGGTCCGTGCAAAGCAATCCACATGCGCTATTACTTCAATATTCAAAGCCGTGAGTGTGAAATATTTGAATACGGTGGATGCCATGGCAATGAGAACAACTTTCTAACACTGGAAGAATGTCAGAAGTGGTGTGTGGTAACAGGCCAGTACCCATTCTCTTATACTATTACCAGTTCTTCATTTGCATCTGATATTTCCATCCACAAACCATATGAATTCTGGAAGTAGAGGCCCTCTTCAGTTCCTATTAATGCAGTAATGTGATGCCTCTACTTAGTTTCCCAAGTATTATACTGTGTTGTGGTCATCTGAATTATTTTATATAGTACAAGCAAACATTGAGGATTTGGAAAGATACGTATGACTTTCTTTAGTGGATCTGTGGAATAGAGAGACCAATGCAAAAAAGATTATTTTCTGACTAGAGCCCTGTTTTGAATGAGTTCTTAAAGTGAAATTGATTTTGATGTTGAGCTAAGCTGGTGGGCAGCACAATTATTCTTTATTGCTTTCAGAGTATCCAACCCAATTTTTGACTCAAGGTTTCTCTTTCACTTGAGGATTTGATAGAAGCTGTCCAAAGTCTTGGACATCTGCTATGATTCAGCATAATTAGAACTACAGTAGTAAATAATTCTTATTTAAAATGACAGTTATAACTGTTTCGCATAAAAGCTTTGTTTTGTTGAAATTTGATCAATTAATTGTTAAAAGAAAATGAGATGCAAAATCTGATACACAGCAGAATATTCAGAAAGCGCCTTGTGAATGCTGGTTTTGTTATTAAAAATGATCCTTGTAATTAAATAAGGCTTTTAGCCTTGTGAAAGTAACCAACTCCTGTTCCTCACGGGAGTATATGAAACTTAAAGATTCTTAAAATTGGAAGTTAATTCCAGTGAAGCTAGAAAATGGAGAGGTTCATATTTTCAGAGACTGAAAGAATTCAAGTCTTATTGAGAGTTTCCTCTGGACAACTAATATGGATCTTTCTTTCATGGCAATTAGATGGAATGTGTCTGGCTGTGTAAACAGGTGATAGTGAGGGAGGTACTGAGTGGGGGGGACAATAGAAGTAGAAAAAGTCTAGAATAAAGAGCTCCTCAAAACTGTGTGATAACCCTCAGATAATATACCAACTATGTGGGTTTTTTTTCCCAAGGGAATTTATATATTGGATGTTCATTTATTTTGACTTTGAGGTAAGATAGAAGGATTCATTCTCAATACTTTTCAGTCACAGACGCCTTGCCCAGCAGCAAAACATGTCATTAAGTGTTACTGAGCTCAAGACAGTGATGCTGGGCAATCCTGCAGCAGGAAATAAATTACAGGTTATTCTGAGGACAGGCAACACAATCAGATAAAAATTCTTAATCTCTCCTGCCTATTAGAGATGTATCCTGGTAGCACCCTACTGCTATACAGATCTAGGTAGGTGTCACTTTACCATTTTCATAATGTCTTGGACCTTTCCATGAAACTGCAAATCTGCTGATGTGCTATAGGCAATGAGTTGGTTCACGGGATATATATTAGTACCTTCTAGGATTAGCACAGGTCACTCTCAGGGACAGCAAGTTTATATGTGTTACAAAAAGTACTTCCAGAATTTTCAGATCAGAAAATTTATTTCAGAAGCTCCTTTTTGGGTTTTCTGACCCGAACAGACACTCACTCACTCACTCACACACACACTATCTCTCTCTCTCTCTCTTTATATATATATATATAAAGAGAGAGAGAGAGAGAGAGAGAGAATAGAGTATGTCACTACATTCAAGCTTTTTTTCTTGTGTCTTATCAGTACATCTTTGATTTGACTGATGATAACATTGTTGTTGCTGCTTTAGCTTGGTAGTTTCTTTGGTTTTGCAACAGAGACCAAAAGAGAACAGGACACCCAAAAGTACAATGTGGTGTTGAACAGAAGGAACAAGCCTCTAAAGTTTCTTTCTGATTCTCTACAGAGTGGTGGGATCCATATGTGGATTACTGGAACAGCACATTGCTTTGGGTTAGTTGTAAGAATTCTGATAAATTCCGAATTAAGTCCTGGAAAGATGCAGTTAAGCCAAATTAAAGAAAAAGGCCACAAGACTGGGAAAAGTTAGTTGTAACTAATGTTAAGTAAACTAGATGAGAGGTGTAGAATAAAATATTGATTGTGAAGAGTTCATTGGGAATTGTACTTGTTTTCAGAAGTGTGGTGCTTTCATCTTTTCACTGTAAAGTTTAGATATATTATTGAATACAGTTATTAGAAATCTTGAATCTTGGAACGTAGTTCTTATTATAAAGAGATTTGCATGACTTTTGTTCATCAAAACTGTGCTTTAAATAACTGGTAAATTCTGTTTCTGCAAAATATTTAGGGGTGTATTTTAATACCATAGGTTTCAGGTCATGACTACAGTTTAATATTAAATAGTGAGGGTAAATGTGCTTGTGACCATATGTTACTACTGTTTAATTAACATAACACTGCTAACCTTAACCTGTGGTTGAAAATTGTTTGAAAAACCGACATTCTGGTGTAGTATGAGTAGCCTGTCTTCATACGTGTGCTGAAGATACTTAGGCTTGAGGCTGTTTTAGTAAGTCTTTAGGGAATGTTCTTACACTGTTGTGTTTTTCTTAAAACCAAAATAATTGTATGTGATTTTTTTTTTTTTTTTTTTT